AAAGAACATGTATGAGGAAATGAAAAAATCGGTATCTTGGTGAGAAGGAGGAAGGAATACGGGAGGCAAAGATGGGAGCTGAGCAGAGAGAACCCTGACTGGCTCCAGTGCCTGCCTCCCTATCTGCTTTGGAAGCAGTTGGGTCATCATTTCAGCGGCCTGGAGTCCTTTAGTAATGACTTTATGGGTTAAAATTTAAAACCAAATTAGATGTGTTTACGAAACAGCACCCCTACTGCATGGTTAACAAGCTGCCAAAGCTAAGCGCCAGTGGTCTGGGCGGAAGTCACTGGTGCTTCCCGGTCATGGTCCATGGCAGCTGTTTCCGAGGTGAGGCACTGCAGCCCCTTCCTCCTGTCGTCTCCCTCTGCCCGAGGACAGTGCTTTCAGGTGACTCACTGATGGGCGCCAGGAATGCATTTATAAGCACAGATTTGCTGGTCTTGACAGTGACTGTGTTAGAAATTTGTCTGCCTTTTTTTTCTTTGGTGCGTGTTTAAAAATTTTTATTTTTAGATTTCCTTATGCAGCACATCCATTCCAGTCGAAACCATGGGTTGGGAAATATTAAGCATGAAGTCTTATCGTTAGATACAATTTTTGATGTAGTGTGCTTTGAAAGTGAAATATTTTCAGGGGTGATGAGTTCCGGCCCCTTCTCTTACAGCTCCTCTGTTGCTTACCACCTTGTTATTTCATGGAGAGGAGTTTCTCCTTCCAGTTTTATGGAACAGAGTGCAGTATTTTTTACTTGTGTTTTCTTTCTCTAACAGGAGCAGCTCTTTCAAATTGTTAATCAGTGTGATGTATCAAAGAGAAGGCTGCTTTGTCCTTCCTAAAGAGAGCAGTAAGTTTTTCTTATAATGAAGTATATTGATAGATTTATTTCTATGGTCTGTGAAAATGGTAAGGACTTAAGAAATTTTAAATCAACCAGGCAAACAATCTCTTATTGCCCTCGAAGAACTTATGATGTACCGAAACAAGGGCAATGTCATGTGCCTTAAAAAGTTTTTTTTGGTGCCCTTTACTTGTCGGAAACAAAAATCTCAAAAATTCCCACCCAGGAATCCTGAATTGGGTTGGCCAGAAACAGACTTAATTCATTTGTGAGCCAATGAGAAGATTCCTTGGAGTTATTACCTGAGCAATAATAATGACTTGTAAATGGCTCACTCCTTTATGTTTTCATTTGTGTGGTGCTAGGGATTGAACTAGGTCTTCACACAGAGCTACATCCCCAGCCTTTTATTTTGTATTTTGAGACAGGGTCTTGCTCAATTGCTAAATTGTCCAGGCTCATCTTAAACTTGTGATCTTTCTACCTCAGCCTCCCACATGGCTCCTTTACAAAAGAATTAACTATTAAAAATAACATCAGAGCTGAAAAGTGCTGCCTGGTGGTGATGGGTCTCTAGGTGTCTCCTCAGGGTGAGGAGGGCGAGTCAGAGCACTGGGAAGGGTCTTTGCTGTCTGTTAATCATAGGACTTAAAACCACAATTCAATTACATGGGATTCTAGGCTAACATTTCCTTTACTGAGTGGCTTTTCTATTTCAGAAGGCAGCAGGATCCTCTTATGTAGTCAACGTGGGCCTAAAAGCCTGATTAAATGTATTGTGGTGTACATGGAATATTTTAGCCTCGGGATATTATTTATGTTGAGACAGGAGCAGTCTTGGGGGACTGGAGATGCATTAAACCCTGCACACTGAACGGATGATCTTTTCCTTCCCAGGGAGGCTACGTGTGGCTATCTGGACCCCTGAGCCCTGGGTAAGCTCTTGGCTTCCTCCCGACCTGCTCTCTCTGCTTGAAATGAATTAGAAATTAACAAAATGCACTTGTTTGAATCAATATTGGGCATTAAGTGGCTCCTGTGCTGTATGTCAGGGTCTCTTCCAGGAGAGGTTATTCTCTGGTTGGACTGGGGCTGGGTAACAGGAAATTTAAGACTAAATGGCCTGGAAGTTTAATCCTGGGATGCACTTAGTCTGTTACTTGGCTCTCCAGTCTGTATGAAGCTTCTCAGTCAATAGGAGGAGTGTGGTGTCCTCTGTTAGCCTCTTATCCTTTATCATTGCTCTGCCTCTTCTGGCCTTGCCCCTTCCACCTAGAATGCCCTTTCTCCTGCCACTGGTGCCCAGGATCAGCCCATTCTTCAAGAGCCAGCTACAATGTCACTTTGGTCCTCCCTGCTGTCTTCCTTCACTAATCCTGCAACCTGCCCCCCCCACCCCCAAACCTCCCAACATTCCCAGGAAGTGTCCCAGTATCAGAGACAAAAGGTGGATTTCTGCTCTAGGTAGGCCTAGTTTACATTCTAGGTCTTACAGTTCTTTTGTGTGTTTAGCTAGTAGGGCTATGTGTTCACTTTTAGCCTTGCTTTTTTTTAACTGTAAAGTGGGGATGGTACCGCTAGTGTTTTTAGGAGATCTAAAATGTTATCACAAAATACAAGGTCTGGCAGAGGGTATTTGAGAGATACTCATTTCTTTATTCTTCATAGCTGTTTCAGGTAACTGGAACTGTCAACTTTTGGGGATTTTGGATCAATTTGTGAATCTGATAAAAGCAATGGTTTCTCTTCCTAGAAAAAATATTTAAACGCATGCAAACATTTTTATACAGTTTCAGGAACTTCTGGGAGTACTGTAGTCCAAAAGCGGTGCTGTTGATACCTTGGCCACTCCCATCCCCAATCAGTGCAAGGCACCAGGACACGGACCAGACGATTTAATCTACTGGTTCCTGAATTGCAATCAGAACATATTCCATGCCTGGAGGAAATCTAGCTCTAATTTTCCCTTAAATTCAGTTTTGAGAAACTGTTATGTCCAAGTGACAGAAATACCTCTGAGCAGAAAGCCTCGTACTTGACTGACATGTCTTCCAGCTGGCCTGCCATACCTTGTTGGAACAAATTTGGCCTTTTCAAAAAAATCTTCCCTTTCGTGTTGGACTCTTCCCTGTAGTCCGATGTGAGCTGCTACCCAGCCAGGCAGTGTTCTGCTGACACCTCTGTCTTTCCCTGTTTGGAATTTATAGCAATTATCCTTTGGTTGGTCCCTGTGTCTGTATGTTGGCAGGCCGCCTGCCTTCCGTGTGATAACCACTTTGCAGACCATGCAGCCAAGCTCTGCCAAAGCCTAATGTCATCCCTTGTCAGATGTTGTCTGGGGCCAAGGGTCACCCGCACCCGCCCGTCCTCTCCTCACATCTGGTGCTGGGTCTCCTTGCAGTGTGTTTCAAGCACATAATGAAGTGCAGGGTTGGCCGCGATCCAGTTCATTTGAACAATGTTCGCAGTGAACCTGGAGAATTCCGGCACCTTGGAATGTTTTTTTTTATGGCCCGTGCTACCTGGATTGGTCTGTCTGGCTGTGTACAGCAAGGAAATGAACTGTATAATCGCCATATTTCTATTCCATTCCGTGCTGTGTAGCTGGTGCCTCTGGAAACAAAAGTTTTCTCTACAACAAAGTCACTTCTCAAGAACAATTATGCCCCCTGGGGGTGAATATCTTTGTCAGTGTGTGCCAAAGTATGACTAAACAAATTGGCTCCAAAAGCACCTTTTCCCCACTTAACTCATTTGATATTTTCACGGAAGATCAATGAGGACAGCAACAAAAGCCTCCAGAAATAAACAAAAACAGACCTCCGCCCCCTTGTTGCTGGGAATTGTATGGTCCAGGTGTTGTTCAGTTTTTCTATGTCTGCATTTGAAACATCTGTACCTTGGAGTTCAGGGCACTGTTGAGTACTGCTTCTCAAACTTCAGTGTGCATTCAAATTAACTCGGCATCTTGTTAAAATGCAGGTTCTGATTCAGTGGGTCTGGGGTAGCGTTGGAGAGTCTGCATTTCTAACAAGTTCCCAGCGATTCTTTTGCAGGTGCTCATGGGAAAATCTCTGAGAAGTGAGCCTGTGGCCTTTTCCTCCAAGATATTTTCGTACAGTGATCAAACAAACCCGAATACCTAGCCACCTGCATGACCCTTTAGGCCCTCTGCTGGGCCTGCTCTGAGTCCTCACTTGGTTCTGTGTTTTTTTTTTATTTTTATTTTTTTTATTTTTTTTTATAGCCAATGTAAGCAGAAAGGCTTTGGTCTTAGGGAAGAACAAATAGATTTTAGTGAAATCAAGGCAGGACCCATCCAAATACAAACTCATCCACAAAGAAGCCTCTTTGCCTGCAAGTGTTCATTGGCATCTCTCTAGTTACTTAAAGTTCGAAGAAGGAAACTGTTCATCACTCAAATTTAGAACAGCCTAGAAAAATGCAGTGAATGTAAATTTTCTGAGTCTCGAGGCAGCACGAGGCAAATCTGTGGAGCTTGAGTTTACGACAAGGAAAGCGCCAATCACATCCATTTTTTTTCTTTTTTTTACTCTGCTGAAGTGTTATTTTTTCTTTGTTTTATGTCTCTTAGAAAATCACCTGAATTCTTTTCTGGAATGAACTGGATATAGGTTAACAAATTACTTGTGTAAACATTTTATTCTGTCAACACAAGTTGTGTATGAGAAACTTCTTGGTTGCTAAAGTAAGCCAGTAACCTCGGTGGTTGCATCTTCACATCTGAATAATGAAGGGCTGGACCAGAGGATCTGGAGCTGCCTGACGTTGTCTCACTCCACGACCAGGGAGAAGCGGAAGCGGGAAACATTCTGCCCATTGATGACTTTTTTTTTCCTTTGGTACTGGGGATCAAACTCGGGACCTTGCATTTTCCAGGCAGGCGGCGGAACCACTGAGCTAAATCCCCAGCCCCATTGATGGCTTTTTACAACAGAGGCTTTTGTTAGCTGTTTCTCTTTCAAGGCAAGGCAGGGAAGGCACCCATTTTGTGTATGTGTCTCCTGGTCATAGGGTAAGAGAGGAGAAGAAGGTTTTGCTGTACTCTCTACTTCCTGTGGTGATACTGCTTTTTTTTTTTTTTTTTTTTTTTTTGTGAGGAAAAGTATTGTTTCTTTTTTAAACCTTGCATAGAATTCTTATATGGGAAAGAAAGACGTGGGAGGGCCTGAAGCCGGTCCCGAGGGCTTTCCCTTTGGCCCAGAGATACCTGGTCTCTCTGGAAGACATGTAGGAAACCAGTGCTCTAAAGCAGTCTCCCCAAGGCCCAAGTTCCGCATCTCTCCATGCTGTCCCCATGTAAAAGTGCTGGTGGTGGGGCAAACTGTAAATGGTTACGGGTGTGCAACTCTGTGGAGGGCTAGGGACGTGAGAGATGAGGGGTAGAGAGAGGCCATTTCCTTGTGAAGCCGAGATGGGCACAGGCGGGACCCGGCGGCTGTACATGGAGCAGAAAAGACCCATGGGTGAGTTTGGTTTTGTCTTGGAACAAGAGTGAGGGGTGGGAATGGTGGGGAGAGGAAGAGGGAGGAGTGGGAGCGGGGAGTGTGCCAGTCTTCCCTCCCTTGGTCCTCGCACTGTGTCCCTTCAGACGGGCTTGGCTTTGGGAGTCCCCACCCACTAACCACAGGGGCTGGGCTGAGATTTTAAGTCAAGTATTTCTTTCCTCACTGTCTTCGGTGTTTGTGAAGTGCTTATTAAGTGTCAAATGATGAGCATAATCCTAGTTTGTACTTAGGTCAGTTGGACGAAGGGCCTGCTATGGCCGTTAGGCAAATGGCCTTCATACACATACTATTTCTCCCTCTGTTTTCCTGCAGATGACTCAAAGTGAAGTGCGCCCTCCCTGTTGTCGTGAAGGCCGCTGTCTAGTTGAGTCGCTTCTGTAGCGGGAATAGTCAGTGTCATTAATTTTCCCCTGTACTGAGTGGGCCGTGGAACCTGAAGCTGACTTGATGGATCACAGTGCCACTTCGGAGCAGGTGGGTGAGTGGGTTGGTGAAACACTCTGGAGAGTTAATGCATTTGTGGAGTTCTCGGCAGAACTGCCCTTGGGGAGAGGGATGACATTTTGGAGCAGCTTGAGTGTGAGAGCCTGGGGTGACAACTGAGATGCAAAGAGAGAGAAGTGGTGTGCTAAAGGGAGAGAATGACTTGTCCTTGGCCACACCACAGCTGAAACTGTGACACAAGGTGGGGTGTCCACAAAATTGGATTAGTGTGAGTCTGGTGGATGAACTGGCATGGAAAGGGGATTGGAAATCATGTCATGTAAGGAGGAGATCAAGACTGAGCCTAGTTAGTGATTGAAGGGAAATTTCTACTCTGTCTCTGTCCTGCTTATTGTCTTCAATTCCTGAAAGGCTATTGTAGCAAAGAGGTTTGGACTTCTTTTGTGTGGCTTCCAAGGAAGAACTGGGACCTATTTTGACTCCATTTGAGAGCAAACTGTTTAAACAAAACAGGCAGGTTCTTGTGAACGTCACTTTCTCCTCATGCCATGGTTCACGCCAGTGCTTTAAGGGAAATGTGTACACTGGGGAGATTTTGACCTGGTGGACCACTAGAGGCTCCTAGAAGGCTGTCAGACAAAGATCCCATGATGTTTCACACATTTCCTCCCCATTTCCTATAACAAGTCTTGGATCATTTCTGCTTGGCAATACTAGTTGTCCTACTCTGGACAGAATTTAGTTTCTTATGGAAATGGAGTCAGAGTGGAATTGGCTTAAAAAAAAACCTTTTAAGAAATGAGGATTAAAAATCTTAGTTTCTGTATAGTTGTGGTATAGGAGAAAGAACACAGAACTCAGAATGTAGAATAGGATCCTAACTCAAACATTTACTTGCTGCCTGATTTTGGGCAAAGCTTCTGATTTTTAATATAAAATGGGGCTGATGACATTCCCTTTCCACAGTCATTACAAGCTTTCAGTGAACTGATGATGTTTGGACAGTGCTTCATGCAGGGCCCAATACATTGTCATCACTCAATAAATGGAAATTATTCCTCCTTACTCTCCCAGACATTTAAAAATAGCAGAGTTATATGACAAAGCAATTTAAGGACAAAGTTGGTTCTACACATGGGACCCCTCAGTGTTAGTTTCCTAGGGCTGCTATAACAAATGACCACAAACCTGGTGACTTGAAACCATAGAAATGTATGACCTCGGATCTGGGGAGCAGAAGGCTGACATTGAGGTGTGTTGGTAGGACAACATGCAGTCTTAAGGATTCTGGAGTGAATCCCTCCTGGCCTCTCCATGGTGCCTCTGTCTTCTCTTTGACTCTTACAGGGACACTTGTTACTAGATTTAGGGTCTACCTGGTTAGTCAGAATGATTGCATCTAAAGAACCTTAATTACATCTGAAAAGGTCCTTTTTCTAAATAAGGTCACCTTAGAGGTACCCAGGAATTGGCCATATCTTTTTGAAGGTCAACATTCAACCCACAACATCCTCTGTGAAGGGAATGCAGTGACACATTCTTGTCCTGGAGATGCCCTGTAATAGACTCCTCAGCCTATTTGATGGTAAACTTTTGGAATAGAAAGGATGGCATTGAGGTAGAGACAAAACATAAACCATCAACCTGCTCTTGGTGAGACTTCCAACACATGCACTGGCCTTGTCTTTCTCCCTCTACCGAGTGTCTGCTGCCTCCTTTATCCTCTCCTTCATCTACTCATTTAGGCTGTGTTAGACTGAGAGAAATGTGTACTGGTAGATTTGGATGAGGCAAGGGAGTGAGAGTAGAATTGTGGTGTGGTTCTACTTTATATCCTCAGCTATCTGTTCACTTGGTTTAAAATTGGATACGATCATCTTCTCCATAATGGTTATCCTGTTCAGTTGCCCACCTCCCCAAACTGCTTTGTTCACGTTGACTGTGATTTTCCACAAAGATGAAAATGTAGTCTTAAACTCAATTGTAAAGATAGCTGGAGATCCCACATAGAATCTAAGCTGTGTCTACTCCTGGGCTTCAGAAAACTCTACCAAACTGGAGAGGTAGGGTAAAGAGAAGGGCTTCTGACATGTTTAACTGCATAAAGGACATCCTAGTAGAGAACTCACTTCAATGGGAAGAAGAGGATAGCATGAAAACTCAACCTTAAGCTTCAAAGGGAAGGCAGGATTCTCAGTTCTGCATGGCATCTCTTTCTCCAGCCTGCCTGTGGTCCACTCCTGAGTCTTAAAAGAAGGTGAACCTGAAGTTAAAGCTGGTAGTGATTTCATCACTGCTGTGTAAGGTAATGTAGCACAGTCAGTGCAGCTTTTATATCTCTTGGCCAGAGAAAAATAGAAAACTGGATAAAACAAGAGAAGCAGAGCTCAGCGGGGACCTCATTCCACAGTGGGATATGGTAGCATTTGGTAGACCTGGTTCTGGCCCGTGGAAATGACAGCTGTGCTCAATAAGGGTGGCATATGAGACACATTCAGACCTTTGCTACAGAAACAACAACAGTGGTGCCTAATAGGTATTCTGTGTAGCAGAACTGACTTCCCTGGGGCAAACTTCACCATCCATTTAAGAGATTTGCTGGGCACCCACCATATGCCATGCAACTGCAACACAATGCCCGGGTGACACATTATTTAACGGGCAGAATTCATTGTGGTCTCTACTTCGTGAAGCTCTTCAGGGACTGGGCCTTGTGTGAGCAGAGAGAGGTGAAACAGGAATAGAATTTTCACCTCATCCTATAGTCTGGTGAGATTTGGAAACTGAAGAACCATATATTATAGAGTGTGCAGTCATGCTCAGGCTTAAAGTCTAGCCCAGAGATTTGATTGCCTTTCTTCTTATTATTTTAATTTAAAAAATGTTTAACCAGGCATGGAGGCACATACCTATAATCCCAGCACTCTGGGAGGCTAAGGCGAGAGTATCATAGGTTGGAGCCCAATCTTGACATCTTAGTGGTTAGCAAGACCCTGCCTCAAAATAAAAAAATGAAAAAAGGACTGAGGCTGTAGCTCAGTGTGAAGGCCCTGGGTTCAACCCCTAGTACTGCAAAAAAGAAAGAAAAAGACAAAAATTATATATATGTATTGTGTGTAAACTATTTTGGAAATATCTATTTATTGGGCTGGTTTAACTGGGATAATTAACACATACACATTTTTCACAACTTCACATTTATCATGTGTGGGAACCTTTAAAATCTAGTATCCTATTTGTCAGGCATGGTGGTGTATGCCTGTAATCCTAGCACACAGGAGGCTGAGGCAGGAGGATTGCAGCAAGGAGGATTGAGGCCAGCCTGGGCTACATAGTGAGTTCAAGGCCAGCCTGAACCACATAGCAAGACCCTGTCACAAAAACATAATTATCCTATTAATTTTCAAGAATTTAATACATGAACCACAAAAACCCCACTAGCCAAAAAAACCACAAAAAACAAAAAACAAAACAACAACAACAACAACAAAATCTTGAATAGTCAGAGCAATCCTGGGTGAAAAGAACAAAATCAGAGATAATATCTGAACTCAAAACATACTATAAAGCCATAGTCATCAAAACAGCACAGTTGTGGCATAACAAACTAACGCATGGACAGTGGAAACAGGACAGAGAACCTAGAAATATATCCACATGTTTACAGCCAACTGATTTTCAACAAGGCAGTGAAACTAAAAAGCTTCTGTACTGCAAAGGAAGCAACAGAGTGGAAAGACAACCAACAGAATGGGAAAAAATATTTGTAAACTATGCATTCAACAGGGATTAATTTCTGGATTATGTAAGGAACTCAACCTAAAAGCAAGCAAACAAAGAATCACCACCAGCAACAACAAATGATTTGATTAATGAGCAGGAAAATGGACTGAATAGAGGATTCTCAAAGGAAGATACACAAATCAACAATTATGTAGAAAAAATGCTCAACGATCTTCAGGAAAATGCACATCAAAACCCCAATGAGATAACATTCATCCTTTTTTTTTGGTACCAGGGATCGAACTTGGGACCTTGTGCTTGCGAGGCAGGCGGTGGAACCACTGAGCTAAATCCTCGGCCCTTCATCCTTAATTAGAATGTTATTAACAAAAAGACAAAAAAATAGTAAATTCTGGTGAGGATGCAGAGAAAAGGGAACTATTCTACACTGTTGGTGGGAGTGGAAATTATGGAAAACAGTATGGAGGTTCCTCAAATGACAGAAATACGGCTAGCATATGATTCAGTGATTCCATCACTGGGCATATAGCTAAGGGAACTGAAATCAGCCTATTGGAGAGATACAGGTCAAATAATATAAAATTTCAGGTAGACTGATTCCATAACTTAGCTACTGTGAATAGTGCTGAGGTAAACAGGTAAGTGCAGATATCTCTCTACTTCTATGAGTTCGACTTTTAAAAATTCCAAATGTAAATGAATTCATGTGGCATTTGTCTTTCTGTGTCTGGCTTATTTCACTTAGCACAATGTCCTCTGAGTTCGTTTATGCTGTTGCAAATAATAGGATTTCTTTCTTTTAAGGCTGAATTCTATTATACATACATATATATCTCCCATGTTTTATTTATCCATTCATCCATAAATGGATATTTAGGTTGATCCTGTAACCCTGGCTACCATGAATAGTGCTGCAGTAAATGCAGGAATATGCATGTCTCTTTGATATACTGATTTATTTTCTCTGGATACACATCTGGTGGTGGGATTGCTGGGTTATGTTGTAGTTCTAGTTTTATTTGCACCTGGACACCTTTCTGAGTTGCCAGCCCTTAGGTAACTAAGCCTTGGCTCTTTACTTAAGGTGCATGCTGGCCCTGGATCCAAAACCCAGGGAAGGGTTGGAAGAATTGGTGGGTTGTGTGGATGAAATAGTGGAGTTTTGAGTGCCAGTCTGAGGATCTTTCAGGCTAGATTAGAACTCTTCTGAGGTTCTGTTTGCTGTGGAACAGTGTTTTCATGTGTATATTTTCCTTCCTGCTTTTCCTAGGATCAGGCTGGGTATTGCATTATTTCTAGTAGTTCAGTGTTTGCCAAACTCCAATAATGTGTATACACATATCCTGGGGGTCTTGCTACCCTGGGGGACTGAGACACATTTCCGACATGCTCCCTGATGATGCCGCACCTTCAGATCTATGGCCCACACACAGCATAAGGGCTTAGTCCAGGAGAATGGTGCCTGCATAAGGCCTCTGGAGCCATTTCTAGTTTAATGATGACTTTGGAGTTCTGCCTGCCTCTCCATTTCCCGGGATTCACAGGGAATGTCTCCTAATCATTTTATGGCTAAGGTCCATTTTTACACATGCTATGTGCCTGTTTTCTTCAAAGATGAGTTCTATCTGCACTCTATAAAGTCTATATTTGGGCTTCTTATATCAATACACACTTTTCTCAGGGTGGTGCTAACACCGTTGGTGGTGAAAACTTAAGTACAAACCTGTTTTAGGAGAGAAATTTATCTTGTTAGAGGGGAGCCAAGCTACTTACAAGGCAGATAACGTTTGGCAGCTTGAGGAGTTGATGGAGAGAGGGACTGGGGTTCAGACTTACCTATTTTTCATTCTTTGAATGAAGTCTATCTTCTGAATTACAGGAGCTGTGTGAAGCAGGAAAAGAGCAATGGTTCTGGAAACAAAAACGGAGTTCTTATCTTTTAATACAGAAGAGGATGCCTCAGGATATTATTATTTGTGATTTATGGGGTGCATAGCAATATGACCAGTGTCTCACCAAAGCAGACAGAGGATTCTGACCCTCTGCCTTTGATGAACTCTTGCAGCTTCCCAGGGGCAATTTTCCACTAGAGAATAGATGCAGGATCACAAGATTCTGACTTAAAAAAAAAAACACATGGAAGGAGCTAGTAGTGAACTTGGTTCCTCTTTCCATCCTAGCATGGATTTAGCTTAAGGCTATCCAGATTCCTTAAATCCTTTCACTACTAATAAATTAGGTTAATCATCCTGTCATCAATATTTGCCTGTGAAATATTTTGTAGTATGCTTATTAGTCAGTCTTAAATATTTGTGATAACTTAATTTTTCCTCTGAATATGTGATTTTACTGAACAAGTGAAGTAAATGAATGAAATCAACTAAATAGCACAGAGGAGATTAACACAGCTTCTTTTAAAGACAGGAGTAGAAGAGTAGGCAAATTTTCCTTCCTTCCCTACTGTCCTTCCCTCCTTCCTTTTTTCCCTAATTTTCTAAAACTTCATTTTGAAATAATTTCAGACTTAATAGAAAAAGTTGCAGGAATAGTACAAAGAATTCTTGTATAGCCTCCACCCTGATTGCTCAAATGTGAACATTTAACCACATTTGCTTTCCGTTTCTCTCTTCGTGTGTATTTATATCTGTATTTTTTTCCTGACCCAATTAAGAGCAACTAGAAGACAAAATAGATACTTCTTTATACACAAACACATCATGGAGTATGCTAAGCATTAGGATATTCTTTTATGTAGCCCTAGTGCAATTATCAAAATCAGTAAATTTATGATGCTATTAAATTTATAGGTTTTTGTCAGATTTTCTTAATAATATCTTTTATAGCAAGAGAAAAAAAAATTTTTTTTCTTTGGTCCAAGATCCAGGCTGGGCTCATGCTTTGAATATAGATGTTCAGCTTCTTTGCCTTCTTAACTAGGATCATGTATCCAGGCTTTGTTTCACAGAGAAGAAAAATTCTTGACCTTAAGAGATTTCATGGAAGTTGAACGGAAAATGTAATTTTTTTTAAACAAGCAACAACAAAAGGAAGTCCCAAGGTTGAATTCTGAGAATATTAAAGTTGTTTTTTAAGTTTATAAAAAGACAATTATTATAAAAATTAAAAAATACCGAAATGAACCAAGTAAACATGAGTCCTCCCTTCAATCCCACTTTCACTTGAGTAAACATTGTTAAAGATTTTTGTATATTGTTTCAGATATTTTTCTATGCTCATAAAATTGTATGTACTTAAAAATATTAGGATCATGCTGTACATGATGCTCTATAACTTTCTTTCTTTCTTTTTTTTTTTTTTAAATCAGTATATCACTGCTAATTTTTGCTCTCAGTTTATGCAGGAATGTGAGAGTGGACATTTGGCATCCCCACTGGGGAACAGCATCTGACATCTTGCTTTTGGTGGTAGCTTTGATTTACTGATAAGGTTGGAAGTGGCTTTGTGTACTGAAGAACATTCCTTGTTGGTAGCTATCTGTTCAGGCACACAAGGAAAATTTGCAAACTCTTTCTCTGGATTCTTGGCCCTTTCTGCACTTCACTTTCATGGTGCTCGTAGATCTCTCTCTCTCAGTATTTGGCTTTTCTTGGAAAACCTCATGATGGTAACTGTAGTCTGTGAAGGCTTTGGATATTATAGCTTTGGTGCTGATGCATTTTGAAGGTGAAACTGAAGTATGCAAAATATATTTACGCTATCATTCTCTTTTGTATTGCAACTAGCATCTATTTCTTTTTGGTACTTGGAATCGACCTCAGGACCTTGTGTTTGGAAGGCAGGTGACGGAACCACTGAGCTAAATCTCTGGCTACTAGCATCTATTTTGACACTACTGGTGACACACACACACACACACACACACACACAGAGTTTGCAAAGTTTCTGTAATCATGTATCTGGGAATGGTCCCCAGGAGTGCTAATTTCTAGCTGTTTGAACAGTCTTTTATCTGTACCCCAAATTAGAAGTGCAGCTGTTCCTCCTTAGCCTTAGACACACTTGCCTGATCTTGGAGTGACTTTATGAGGTTTCTTGCAACTGTTTTGTTTAGGAAGTTGGGCTTGAAGATTGGTTAGGCTGATTTTCTTTTGGTTCTTGCCTGGAATTCCTCTGGACCTTCCTGACCTTTAACTTTATTCATTCTTTGCTCACCCTGACGTTGTGGTGCCTTTAAACCCAAGAAAGCACGAGGCAGTGATGATCCCAAGTTATTTATGTGTCTGATGGCTGTATTAGTGGGTTTCCCATTTTGCTTTTCTCTGCAGCCTTTAGCCCTGAAAGCTCTTTGGAACAGGGTCTGTTTTCCTGTAACTGCCTCCTTGCACTTGTTGGGCAAAATCAGAGCAGTGATTGAGTCCTCAACACCCTTATGGCACTGCAGAGTAATAACATTTATCACACTTCTTATTTAAGCCCTTTAGAGAATGACATTTCACAGTGTAATTTTGCTTCACAGATTTTTCCCTTGTGAGTTTTAACTTTCAGGGTAGAATTCTCTCTATGGCTTCACCTTTTTCCTACTTTGTATATCTGTGAGAAGTCACACAAATAAGGCATAGCAAATGGAATCAGGTCATGCTCCCAAGTGCCCTTCACCTCAAGATTCCTGATTGTTTCTTCCTTATTTGTCATGAGCAGGCCCAAATTACCTCACCTCCAGCTGCCCTTTCCACTTTATGAAACAGGCGCTAACAGCAACACAGCTCTAAAAATTCCCGGATGACCTGCGTTTTGCTCTTTTTATTATCCCTTAAGAAATGTCTCAGTAATTGAAATCTAGAGTAGCAGAGTTTTGTGATCTTGCCACTTAGCATTTTACTTATGTTTGGTTTATTTATATTGTGTCTTTAAACCCTAGAGTGGTCAAAGTCTGCCTTACAGGACGTAAAGGACAGAAACCAAGAATGCCATCATTAATTCAAAGGTGAGAAGTTAAACAGGGGTCTCAGCACCCATACTTATTTGGGAGTCAGAAGGAGGGGAAGAAGTAGAAGATTCTGGAACATTTTAGTAGGTACCAACAGGGAGAGGTGAGACATTTTCACTAGATTTATACTGCATGATACATTTTATTTATTTATGGGTACACGGTATCTGTTTTTTCCCCTCTACAGTAATTTATCAGAGCGTTCATCCTGATTTAGTAGTGTGCAGAGGACACCCACTGCTAATTCTCCTTTATTTCATATATTTCTTTTACCTTAACTCATAAAGCTTCAGCATTGCTACTTCCTTTATCATCCATCTGTATTTCATTGCAAGTCCAACTCTTTTTGATCTATGGCACAAGCCCTCCTTTCCCACCTCTTTGTGCTCTCTTCACAGATTGAATTCCTCAGCATTGACATTTCAGTCATTTGATTTATCCCTACAGGTTCCCTGATGCCAACCAGATCATAATTCCCTTTCTGGTAGCATCACTTCAAGATCTTCCTGGTTATTTCCCTTGGCTCCTACTATTTGTGGATTGGTGCCTAAGAGATTTAGTGGTGATTTGTCTCCTCTTTTTGTTTTCTGTTTGCTTAGATCCAAACCACAGGTGGTAAGTTGGGAGGCCCAAGGATACATATAATTGTGTGCCCTGTGAGTTTTGTTCTGCTTGGTGGGGAGTGCTGGAAGGGTCTGTCTCAAGCATAGTGGCAGAAGGGACATCTCTGGACTTGTTTCAAACAAAAGACTTGCCCATACGCCTTCTGTTAGGCTTTGCAAATCAAGTGACCCCTGCCAAATCCTTTGAGAAATTCTGGATGGAGAGAGCTAGATTATCAGTTTCAAAATCAATTATTTTTAAAAAATAAATTCATATGAAAGTTTGGTTAAAAGAAGTTTCAGTACTTATTTTCTTGTGCCATTTATTTTTTAATCAGTACTATCTTTGTGTAGTGTGACCAAATACACATACATGGGCAGATACACACATATAAAGAGAAACACAAGAGAGAAAGAGAAAAACAATTCCCCTCTTGGAATTCTCATGGTGTTGGCATTAAAATACTGAGTGTTACATTATCACAAGACCTTCAGTTGTCCTGATTTGCATTAGTGACATCTATTTCTCATGTCAGACAAGGGAAAGCTGCATAGACCTTTTCCCCCAGTCCTTTTACCTTTTTAAAAAACAGTACTTGTGATTTCCCATTGAAAGAGGTTCTGTGACTTACATATGATGTATTAGAGATTGGTTATATTAGGAAGAGTAACCTTCTTGCCCTATCCTTAAGTTGAATATAATCTAGATTTTGCTGCTTAATATAATCTGTACCTGTTATTTAATACTACATTTCGGGGCAGGGACTCATCATTCTCCATCTGCTGCTCTACTCTGTAAGACTCATGGGACTGGGTTCTCTTAGGCCTGGCTTGCCAGGGCTGTGGAATTGTTCCTGCCTCATCCCTTTGCTGTGGATAAAAGGTCTCCTGACTATGAGGAATGCCCACCAAGATGCCATCTCCCAGCCTTCTCTGTTGCTGAGGAGGACACTGTGGTGTCTTTGACACTTTCCCCTCATCGGAGAATAAAAGGGGCCAGTGACTCTCCTTGTCCTAAAGTCAAATTTATAACAGGCTTCTGCTACAGCTGAGTGGACTTGGGTAGTTATGAGGAAGAGTTCATGACTCTGAAGATGTGGAAATTCTTCAGCAGTTGTAAAAGCACATTCTGAATAGCTCTTTAAAATATTTTAATTTTTTTCAGATACTTGAAGGCTGAGATGAGAACCTTTTGGCTTCTCAGGGCCAATTTATTTCCCTAGAAAGGAGGACTACAACAGGTAACACCAGTTTGCATTTTTTGTATAATGAAACATGGATTTCTTCCCAGTATCAGTGTTCTACTGATTAAAATGTCCCTGGAACCCTATGAAATGAGGCCAATTGTAGAGGTAGGATGACTAAGAAAATAATAGCAAAGCAGTGACCCAGTGATCAAAAGGGTCAGGAGCGAAAAGCATGTGAAGAAACCTGATGAAGAATATTTGTGTAGCATCAGAGACAGTAAAGAGTCAAATTTATTTACTTTTTAAAAAAATCTATTTTTGAGGAAGAACAAAAAGGCAAAAATAACAAACAAGCAGTGCTATTAAAACCCCATCTTCAGCCTGGCATGATGGCAAATGTCTGGAATCCTAGAATTCTGGGAGACGGAGGAAGGAGGATCACCAAGTTTGAGCCCAGCCTGGGCAACTTAGTGACTTGGTGAAAAAAGAGGAATGGAGATATAACTCATTCCAAAGGCCCTAAGTTAATTCCCCGGTACCACAAACAAACAAATCTCATCTTCCAAAGAATCACCATGATGTCTCTCTGAAGGCACAGGAGTAAAATACTATTATCATTACTTTTCAAGATTACCAGTAGATGAAGTCACTAGGGAAATATGACCTGGATATCCCAAAGGTCTGTTGACAGTCATACACATTGTCTACTGGAATTATTAATATGTAGAGTGCAGTAGAAGAAGCAACATTCATCACTGATCTCCACCATTTAGAATAATTTTTATAGATTCATCCAGTCCTTACCAATTGCATTTTCTGAGTATTGTAAAGAATAAATTATCCTATTATAATAGTACGCACTCTCTGAAATTAGGAATATGCTGCAGGCATTGACTAAAATGCATAGGCTGATAGCTTTTTAGCAAGAATGGGAGGCAAGATTTAAAATAAAACAGACTCTCAAGTGTTGATCTATGGCATCTCTTCCAAATGGCTTCTCACAGATTTTTTTTTTTTAAAGCAGAGAGAAGTACTGATTTACCATTAATATAAGGGTATAATTTATCTGCACTGATTAAAATGATCAGTTATTCGGTGACAGCTCTTTATATTCAGGTAAATGCTTCCTTTGTGCTTTTCAGACAAGAATTTCTGACACATCATGGGAAAAAGTGAAGAAGTCAATCTTTGGGGTGTGTTTTTACCCAGGAGGTGGCCTGCAATGGGTTAGTGGCACATCACAATAAATTATTTATCAGGTAATAAGTGTGATAATTGTTCTTATTTATCATCAGTATAACTTGCCTTGTTCTCCTGTCATGCCTTCAATCAAATCCTCCCCAGAGATTTGCTGGTTAAAATATACAGCCAAAAGGTCATTCCAACAATTTTTACTCATAATGGCACACTGATTATCTCCTAATTGAAAAATGTAAACTAGGGGCTCTGTAAGTAATGTGAGTGACCCTTGCATTTCTAGCACAATGAGGAGAGTCGCTCTGTACCTCATTCATCCTGTCACAGGGAACAGTACAATTTTCTGTAATTTTGATGGTCTCCTAAATTAATTGAAAATAACTTTTTTGTTTTGCATGGAGGAGGAAAAAAACCCCCACGTGCCCAAATTTGCTGAAAAAAGTAGAGATGTAAAATACCACTCACTATCTACTGTCCTGCTGGCAGCTAATCCATTGAAGCTTAATTGTAATTATCCACCAGGTCCGGGCCTGGAGAGGAATACTGATTACTGCTACGTGCGTTTCCACGGGCAAGACTGAGTATTGAGCCTGTTGCAAAGTTTCAAGTACATTTATTTCTACCAGCAGCTGTAATGGATCATTGGTCATGGGCTATTTCTGGACTTGGTGCAACAGGAGAAAATAATTTCAACTTATTTGTGCAGAATTCCTTAAAAGATTGCCAAAGCTGCAAAAGCAGACTGATAGACATGTGACTACTTCACACTTTTGTGTCAGAGGCACCCATCCACCTGTGGTCCAGATGGTCTTGGGTTATTTTCTTATGATTTACCTCTCCTTCTAGAAGCCCATACTCAGCTAGACAGCCATGCAAATGCTCCCTGAACTTCCTTAATGAGAACAGTAATGCTATATTTTGGACCTGGAATATTCCCCAATGCCCCATGTGTTAAGAACTTGGGTCCCAGGGTTATTAGGAGGTGGAAGAACTCTTAAGAGGTGGGGCCTAGTGGGAGGCCTATAGGTCACTGAGGATGTGCCCTGAAATGGGACCGTGCAATGCTGATCTCTTTTCTCTTTATACCCTGGCTGGCCATGAGGTGAATGGGTTCACTCAGCCACACACTCCCCCATGATGTGCTGCCTCGCCACAGGCCCAGAAGCAACAGGGCTAATCAATCACGGACTTGAACAATGAGATAAAACAACCCTTGATGACTTAATTATCTTGGGTATTTTGTTACATTGACAGAAAGCTGATTAAATATGTAGTTACCATGAAAAAAGGAAGTCCACGTAGTTCTGTCTCCTTCCTCCTCTACTCTTCCTTTCTGCTCCCTCTCACCTGTTTTTGAACTCCCCTATGTTCACAGCTCATACAGGACCCTTTCTTAGTGCTTCATTTCCCACTTTAACGTATCTTGTCATTTAGCTTGCAGCCTCTTTTTTTTTTTTTTGTATTAAATTCTTTTATTGGTACATTTTAGGTATACAATATAATGACATTCATCCTGCATAGACCTTTTCCCCCAGTCCTTTTACCTTTTT